TCCACTTCGTGGAAGAACCGGTAGAAATCATGGATCGAGAGATCAAAAGAACAAAGCAAAGTCGTATTCCCATTGTGAAGGTCCGCTGGAACGCTAAACGAGGACCCGAATTCACCTGGGAACGCGAGGATCAGATGAAACAAAAGTATCCACATCTCTTCCCAAACTCTTGAAATCCCAGTCAAAATGAAAATTTCGGGACGAAATTCCTTCTAACGGGGGATGATGTGACAACCGTCAAAATTGAGTCAAGTCAAAGTCAAACAAAGTCAACAAGTCAAAACCAATCGACTCAATTAACCCTTGTATGTTAGGGTTTACGTTATGTAATCACTATACAATTCGCTATTTTAATGAGAAATCATCATTTGGAAAGTTCATGTGTTTGATTTTCCTTAGCCTTAACAGTGCTAAACAACAAACCAAAACGATAAAACATTATTGCACACTCATCGGGAGTGTGTACGACACTAAAACACGGTTTAACGGGGTTTACGAACCTTGCGTTATGAAGCCGGACACTCAAATTAATCACAAACGAAACCTCTCTAAATCGTTTTCACTCTATCTCTTTCTATTTGAAATCTCTCCCAAATCTCTCTCAAAAGTTACTTTAACTTTTTGTAATCATTTGGGTCATATCGACCCTTAACCGGGTCAAAAATCGCTTGAAACGGGGTAAAAACGGGTAAAATAGCCTTAAGGACCTGGAACTGAAGCTTCAGGACCGAAGCCTCTCATCCGAGGCCTCGGATCCGAAGCCTCTCATCAGGACCGAAGCTGAAGCCTCTCAGGAGACCGAATCCGAAGCCATCAGACAGCAGCCTCGCATGCGAGGGTCCGAATCCGGCCTCCATGCGAGAGGTCTCGCAGACGGCCCCTTTTTACCGGTTTTTCGACTACGACTTCGTTTTAACTCCGTTTTTCATTATTTTAACGTGGGATTTTCACCCAAAACTTTATTTTATAAACTAAGGCCCCAAAATATATAAATCTCCAGGGTTTTTATAAAAATATATTAAAAGAATTAGTGGTTGAACTAATTATTGAGGGAATATTTGCTTTTCCTTAATTTATGGCAAAAGCAAACCACCACCACCTCACTCTATGATTAGCCACTCTTTCCCACTACCCCTTGTCACCTTAGTGGACCTTTACACCCAATCTCCAGCTCTTCCCACGTTCTAAGAGCTGGAGAATTGGTCATCTCTCCTCATTCTCATTAACTTCTTTCATTCTACACTTAGCAACCAAAGAACACTCTCCAAAATTCTCTCATCTTTTCTCTCAACTTCAAGAACTTCAAGGCTTTCTCCAGGGATTTCTTTCTTCAATTAGTAAGTATCTTCATCATTCATATAATTATTACACTCCATTCTACTCAAATCATTGATATCTTACACAAATTCCATCTTATTCGGTGTTAGATTCTCGAATCATCAAGACATCTTCTTAGTGTTCTTGGGTTGAACACTTCCTCTCTCTTACTTTCATCTACTGAAACCACATAGGGTGAGTTCATACCCCTACATTTACATGTTCTTCTTAAGTTTTAAGGGGGGGAATACAAGTAAAATCATCAAGAACACAATTAAACTTTTTCTAACAGATTACATCAGAAAAGATGGACTTCGATCACGGACTGTTTTGGTCAACTTAAATATTTTAGTTTTCAAAACTGTTCCAGGTGCAAGTAGTTCAAACTCTTAGCTTTAAAATGGCTACTTGCACATCTCCATATGATTTTTCTACAATTTATGGTGATTTTTACAAAACTGCCTATCATTTCAGAGGCAAACCCGGACCAGTCTGTGATTATGAACATTTTCACCTCTGTTAGAAATCACTAAAAATCATGATAAAATTTACGAACAAACTAGACTCATATTCCAAACTCTCAGAATTTGCGGATTTGGATTTGGAGCTTTGATGATTTTTCTATAAATTTTCTAAGAACAGTAACAGAAACTGTATTCAACAAAAAGCTGCTGTCAATTTCATTTCACCTTGTAACATGTTGAGCAAGGTGTATATCTTTTTGTGATTATATGTTATTGCAATATATGACATTTTATCTTAATATTTAGACACACATCAGTTTACAAATGGATTTGGACATATAAAATATAAAGAATAACAAGTGATTATAATCAAAGTACAACCGATACATTCAAACATTTAATAAACTATTTTGAATATAGTTTGCATACATTACAACGTACTACCCTTGGTTGATAAACTATAATAGGTATAGTTTATGATACATTACATAATACATACATTTAAAAAGGGTACATTTATACAAAGGATATTTTCATTAAGCAAGGTACGGCCATACGGTACCAAGTTTTCATAACACGTAATTCCGTTAATGACTTTATGAAACATTACATAACACATACATTTAAAAAGGGTACATTTATACAAAGGATATTTTCATTAAGCAAGGTACGGCCATACGGTACCAAGTTTTCATTACACTACACGTAAATTCGTTAATGACTTTGTGAGACATTTACTTCAAATTACCATTAAGTCCTGTATTGTAACCAGAGTCTCCTTGAGGGAGAGCGTGATAGTTGTGTATAGATCTATATTGGGTTTGACAAACTCACACCTAAACTGCATGCAACAGTTAGACCGATAGGTCTGGGGTGACAAATGTCATAACATTTCCGACGCCTGAAGAACGTCGTTTCAGGCCAACTAGGTCATAGCATGGTTATAATAACTCACATGTGGTATTAACAAACATAGAATTTACGGGGATTTCACTAAAATCAAACGAGTTTATGTCGATTTAAACTTACATTATTTATTATAAGTAAGAAAAGTTACTTGTACATTTCGGTCTATGGATTTAAGACTACATATACATTTTAAGGAAAATATTGGATTTTTCTAAAACAAATACCACTTTTACAAACGAAAGGCTTTTAATAATACCAAACAAAAGCTTATGAACTCACCAACCTTTGTGTTGACACTTTTTCAAACAACTTGTATTCTCAGGAAATCATTAAACAGGTAATCAAGTGCTTTTGAGGATGGGACGCTAAGGCGTCTACTATTTCATATTTTGTCAACATATTGTAATTGATTCGTAAACATGTAATTCATACAATGATGTAACTTTTTCAATTATATATATGTTGGTTGTGTTTGCTTGAATTACTATTATAATTGTTGTTATGATACTATACATGAAGTCCTCCACCCCCGGACATTTCCGCCATCCTTGGTTTGGGGGTGTGACATCTTGGAATCACACTGCTAAGTCATTATACATAGAGTTGGAGTCTTTAAAAATCTGAACTTACTTTAATTAGTTAATCATTTGTGTGTCCCTTGTTTCATTTATTTAAATTGTTACATACAACCCCCCCCCCCCCCCCCCCGCCTCCCTTTTTTATTTCTTGGTGACTAAATTACCTTACGCAAAAAGGTATAGAAATTAGCCTTGTGTCTCTGTGGATCGACCCTGCTTATCATGTGCTACTTTTTAGTGCAATATAGCAGTGTTCTTTGGGAGTATATTGTACCTCAATCATTTGTTGGGTTTTGACAACCTGACAAAACACCTCACTAAATCTAGCCTACACATCATCCATGTAAGTAGATCAATCAGTAATATGACTTGGTACCACTGATAAATCTTACTTATAAATTCATAACAATGACTATGAATTTAAATATAAATTACACAAAAATAATATTGAGTGTAATTTAATTTATAGAGATGTCCCTGACAAAAGTTCGAAAATTATACTGGCAGAGCTCCGATCTGATAGCTACTAATGTCGGACACTCAGGGACCTCAGAGCTTTGCCAAAATACCTTAAACACTAAGAAATTTCAGAACTATAACTCATAGAATCAGACGGAAGGTTTGGAGAGGTGTGAGGAACAAATAAGGCATTGCAGCATATTTATAACTGAATTTTGATATGCGTGTTGCGCTTACCTACCCTACGTGACATACACTTCTGTGACGTCTCTCTTCTGCCTTGCTGCCACGTGTCCGAAATCTGGTGGTCCACATCCATTTGTCAGTGTGCGTCGTGTGTCACGCGTGCTTAGGCACACCTGCATTTTTAAAACTTTTTAAAATAGTATCTTCTTCATACGAGCTTCGTTTTGACGTTCTTTATACACACATGTAGCTATCAACGAGATCTACAAGTTTTGTTTAGACCCCGTCGAATAATTTTTCACTTTATTTTTAATGTTATAGCTTTAACAGGCTTAGACTGTGAAAGTCTGAATAAAAATCATAACTCTCTCATACGATATCCGTTGTCGACTATCTTTATATCGACGGATAAGTATTAACAAGATCTACAACTCTTGTTTATATTGTTTTTCCTAACAATCAACCGATTTCTATGTCATACTGCTGCGCTGAAACTTTGAAAAATCATAACTTCCCCAAACAAAATTAGATTTAGACGTTCTACATATGCACGCTTTTGTTTTTACGAATACTACGATTTTGATTAAGATTATTACCATTATAGTCGGTGACAATGGTAATATGTGAACACATTTAACAAATTTGATGGTCAAATGTATTAAAAATTGTCTAAATATAAATAAAACAAAAAAACAATTACTTTCTCTTAATTATGTAGTGAGTAGAAGATGGATATGATTATATTTGATTTCCGATATCAATGATAGTTCAACAAAATTCTGATCATTAGTCAAATATATAACATAAAAAAAATTAGTAGACCAAACTCAATAACATGTCACAGATAATAATTACAACGGATAAAAATAATGTTACAATTTTCAAACAAAATCAATTTAAAACAAGAAAAATCGAATGTACAAGTACGTCCAAAACATATTTAGTTGTGCCATTTTGACAAACAGGTGGTAGGCAGACGAACAGGTATCAATTATCATGTTCACTACATACGAACGCAACTCGAAGCCACGTTTGAATACTATAATCATAAATCATAACCCATTAAGTAAAACGCAGTAGAATAATAATGCAAAACAGATCAGAAAAACTTACCCCTACAACTATGGAGGAAGAGCAGGCTCTCCAGAAACGAAAATTTTATTGGGGAAATACACCAGATGAAGAAGAATACCACAAACTCCATAACATCAAGTCCACTACTTCTTTCTACAAATCACCAAGAGGCTTATCTTTATTCACTAGATCATGGCTTCCCCTCACCCCACCACGTGGAATCATCTGTATGGTCCACGGCTACGGCAACGACATCAGCTGGACCTTCCAAGCCACCGCGATCTTCCTCGCCGGCAACGGGTATGCCTGTTTCGCACTTGACATGGAAGGCCACGGCCGATCTGAAGGACTCAAAGCTTTCGTCCCCAACGTCGACGATGTCGTTGGAGATTACTCGGCGTTCTTCTCATCGGTCGCTACTTCAACCGATGCCAATTATCAAAACCTCCCTAAATTCTTATTCGGTGAATCCATGGGCGGCGCAATCTGTCTCTTGATTGAATGCAAAAGACCTAAATTCTTCGATGGCGCAATCCTGATCGCTCCGATGTGTAAGATCTCGGATAAAGTAAGACCTAGTTGGCCGATTCCTGAGATTTTGATGTTTGTATCCAAGTTCGCCCCAAGTTTGGCGATCGTTCCGACGGCTGATTTAGTCGATAAATCTGTGAAAGTTCCCGAAAAGAGAATCATCGCTGGTATGAATCCGGTTAGATACACAGGGAAACCGAGATTGGGGACAGTGGTGGAGTTGCTACGAGTGACGGAATACTTGAGCAGTCAATTAAGCAATGTGAACATTCCATTCATCGTGTTACATGGAAACGCTGATGTTGTTACAGATCCCGAAGTGAGTAAAGATCTGTACGAGAAGGCAAAGAGCAAGGATAAGAGTTTGAAGATCTACGACGGGATGATGCATTCACTGTTGTTTGGGGAAACCGATGAGAATGTTGAGCTTGTTCGTGGCGATATTTTGTCGTGGTTGAATGATCGATGTTGAAGATTGAAGAAACTTGATTTGATTTTGTTGTTTTGATCAACAAATGTGTATTTGAAGATGTTTGTTCACCATCTGTAAAATAAGTTATTCACTGGAACTGTGTTTTAATAGAATGTTGGAAGTCGATGATGATTGCTTCACCATTGTTCTTTCATTACTTGATTAACGAAGATAACTTCTACCCTGCATTTACCACACCTGTAAGGCTGTAACTGAAAATTTTATAAAATATCGTCATTAGATGGATTATCCATGTGTGTTTACTCTTATAACTAATTTAAAATGTTAAGATAATCCTTCCGCAGATGGAGTGCAATCAAACAGCAAACATGCAAAAGGTGTGGAAATAATGAAAGAAATTCAAATGGGTCTAAAGGTGAACTGAGTCGTGCTTAAATTGCTAAAAGATGAGGGTTCCCTAGTAGTATATTTCACAAGTAACTTTTATTCTATATAAACCATGCCAACTTTATACAATCTCTTTAATTTCATTCCAAATCTCTCTAATAGTCTAATTCTATTCCGAGCTTTTTCCTCTTCGATTTTAGATGGATTATAGGCGTGGCAAATCCAAAAAAGAAAAAAAAGTGTTCTACCCAAAGTAGAAACTGTCGAGGCAAAGGTGGTTGGCAATGTTACCCAAGATCAATTCTTGAAACTCAAATCTCAAATTATCTCCAATACCTACGATATCAACACCCAACATCAACAAACTCCGGTGCAACAATCTTTAGACATATATGTACGTATTTTCAAATGGATTGTATACATTTAAGATGTAATGGGTTTGAAACAAATAATCTAAAATCTATTTTTAAGAGTAAACCCTTCTCAATATAAGAAAATTGGTGGAAAGAAAATATTTATGTTATTATAATTATTATTTAAATATCATATGGCTTAGTTGAGATATGGAGACATTAAGTTTTTTAGTCATATCATGAAACTTTGAAAAAAAAAATGGAGATTAGGTCGCGACATTAAACAAATAATACTGAAAACTAATTTGGCTTCATATCTTTGAGGTCAACTACATAGGCCTCCTCGGACACCTTTGATAGAAATATAGAGAAATTGGTAGAGATCTTTGTATGGTATTTATTGATTTTGAGAAGACATGATAATTTATCTCAAAGAGGATATGTCATCGACATGTGTCCGAACTCGAGTGAGCAGTTTTCGAGTGAGGTTATGGATGAGATTTGTTCAGTGAGATTCTGGAAGGAATGGCTTGGTGTGTACTTTTTAGAGATGATGTTGCGTTGGTGACAAAGTATAGGACCATGCTAAATGACATGTTGGATATTTGAGGACTATGTTCGAAGAAAAAAAATGGTTACATATCATTAATATGACATGGAATATATGTTGTTTAATTTCAGTAATGGAATATATGTTGTTTAATTTCAGTGGGAGTGTGTGCATAATGGTGATGTACCTTAGTAGGTCGGTCTTAACTTATCTTAGGCCTGTGCAAACAAGAAAAAAAAATACCCTATTAAAATTAGGTTTATATAAAAAAATTTCCTAAATATAGAGTTAATTACAACAAAAAAAAATGTTAAAAATAATAATTTAACACGTGTCATTTAGATTAAAAGAAAACATAAAAATTTAGAAACCAACTAACTATACACATAATGTTTAAAGTAGAAACATCAATAGTAAATAAATAAAATAAAATGGACCGTAACTATAGTGGGCTACTAAAAGCTAATGCACTCTTACCAACAGGATTTGTTCAAAACAAGCCCATCTTAATTTGTATAATATATATTACTCATAGAAATAAGAGTAAATTACACGAATGGTCCCTATGCTTTGGGGTAATTTACACGCTTGGTCCTTAACTTATTTTTTAACTCGGAAGGTCCCTATTGTTTGCTTTTGTTACGCGCTTGGTCCCTACTGTTTGTTTTTGTTACACGTTTGGTCCCTGTCTTACCTAAAAAAACTATTATTTAAATAGGAAAAAATAGTAGGGTGTGTAAGGTAAGGTGAAGGGGTGAGGTTGGGGTGTGTTTATTTAAATAAATTTAAAAAATAAAGGGGAAAATAGTCTTTTTAGGTAAGACAGGGACCAAACGCATAACAAAAACAAACATTAAGGACCTTCCGAGTTAAAAAAATAAGTTAGGGACCAAACGCGCAAATTACCCTAAACCATAGGGACCATTCGTGTAATTTAAAAAACCATGAACGCGTATAGGAAGAATCGAACACGTGTGAATATATTCTGAGTGGTACGCCCCTAACCAACAGCAGCAGAACAATTTTGAAAACAAATTCCGATAACGTTATATATAGTATAATATTGACGAAATTGTAAAAATGTGTATTTTTTTCGGGTCTTGGTTCAAACATCAACTTCTTTTGATTGATAATCCTTTTGAGCTGGTTTGGTTGTGCGTATTTAAATTAAAGGTTTATTAAAATAAATGTAGGTCTCTCTCTCAATTATTTTTTATTTATTAAATTAAAAAAATAAAAAAAAATAGAAAATAAATACATTCGTAAATGTAACTTTTGGAAGTTAGGGTTTACTTTATTGTATCCGACTGTATTCGGTGATTGATGTCACTCTAGGCTTGTTTACAATAATTGCATCCAATATCTTTCCCAACATTGTATGATTGTATGTCTACCTTAGCATCTCATTTCCACAGCCTATATCTTCTTATAACATAACCGACACCCTGTAAATATATCCCTTTAGTTGCAAGAATCAAATGCCTATTTTGTCGCACAAAACTCTTGTGGTAACTTTCCTGTTTTAATGCAATGATTAACATTGCCATGTACATCTCCTTATTTGTGGATTATAGATCCCACGTACTTAAAACTTTCATTTAATTATATAACACATTCACTAATGCACAGGGACGACCCTACGGCAGTTCAAGATGTTCGACCACACATGACCCAGAAAAATTAGGGCCCGAAAATTATTCTATCAACCTAATAACATTATAGACAAAACTGCAAAAATGGTCTATGTGGTATGTATTTTTCCAAACTCCAATTTTTTTGGATTGATGATCATTTTTAACATGTTTGTATGTGTTTTTGGTCCCTCAAAAAACTAAAAAGACTAAATTGCCTTCTTGATACATTTTTAATGTTTTTTCTATTTAAATTAAAGGTTTATTAAAATAAATGTAGGTCTCTCTCTCTCACAATTATTTTTTATTTATTAAATTAAAAAAAATGAAAGAAAAATAGAAAATAAATACACCAATGGTAATATAGTTATTTTAATAAACCTTTAACTTTTCAAATCATTGATAAAAAGTGTTGTAGTTATACCCAAACTTAAAGATACACTATTATTCAATAAAATAGAATCATAAGAAACTAAAAATCTTGATGGAATATTCGTGTATAAATTTTTATAAGATGCCTATTCTCGTATACACAAAAGACGGATAATGACCTCCATTATCTTCCTTTTATCTTTACACAAGTTGTAAACCACTTACTTTTATGATTTACCAAGGATGATATGTTGGTACATGTTCCACCTTTTTGGTTATGACCAAAAAAAAATTACAATTTTTAATTCTATTAACATCAATACAAACACTACCATGTCATGTCTTGCATAACGAGACTTAAATGATATTTCCCCTAAGTTATGAAATATACATCAAGAAACGTAATATAATAAAATAAGTGAAAACAAACAAAAGAAAAGAAAACTGAAGATGTTCACCCAAAAACCCGCTATCTTTACCTGATGTAATATACCATTTGAGTTCAAATATCCATATCTCTATACAACTTAGCAACACTTTCCAAAATGAATTCAATCTTTCTATAATCCTTCTAACCAACAACTATCAAGAAAAACCTTTTTTCAACTGTAATCAATTCCGCTTATGTTAATAAAGAGAATATACTGTAAGTCAAATTCCAAGATAAAGAGAAAATACTCAACACAACACTTGCATCATGTCATCAACCATGTTGATATAATCAGTACAACAAAACAAAGTTGTATGTATATTTGTATTTGTATTTGTATTTGTTGTACCACATTATATATTGATGGCATGAAAGCAGTGATTATATTCAGTATTTACTCAGGTTGATATATCTATCAAGGGAAACCAAAACCATAAAGAACCTTGATTTTGATTAGGCTTGGAATAGGTATTTTAAGTCATCCACTGTAAGCCGCGTCTGACTGCTACCTGTCTCATCCTCCCCAAACGCAGACGAGACCATCTCTCTCTTTTTTTGCTGCAATGCAAAAACCCAAGGGTATTTTAGTAATTTCAAAAGGAATTACTAAAATATCAGAGAGTATAATATTAATACCTGAAGAGCTAATATGCGGTCTTCAACCGTATCTTTAACAGTCAACCGTAAAACTGAAACCGGACGAGTCTGGCCTATCCTGTGAGCTCTATCAATTGCTTGATCTTCGGTTGTTGGGTTCCACCATAAATCCAAAAGAAGCACATGACAAGCTGCCACCATGTTTAATCCAAGACTTGCAGCTTTCAAAGACATAATCATAACACTAACCTACAAAAGTCAACAATTTTTCTCAACTTATTTTTAAAAAAATCAGATATATAAAAGTAGGTTGCTATTTCTTCCCAACAAACCTCTGGAAGAGTGTTGAAATCCTTGACTGCTTTATCTCGGGCAAGAACAGACATGGTCCCATCGAGTCTTCGGTAACCAATGGAGGAATCTTTCAAACAAGCTTCAAGCAAATCCAGCATCCTTGTCCACTGTGAGAAAACTATTGCTTTTTCTCTCACAACCACGGTTTCTTTCACGTTAATATCTACATCATTTGAACATTGAATCTCTTTTGGTTTAGCGATATTTGTAAGGACATCAACTGCAGCCTTGATTTTTGAGGAATCGAGTGCCTCAGCAGCCTCGATGTTTGATGAACTAACTGATCCACTTGATGAGCATTGCTCTAGAGGCTCGGGTTTCACTGAACTAGAAGAAGAAGAAGAATCAAGGGTGGTATGGTCGCC